GATAAATACCACAAACAAAAAGGTAGCCTAGGACATTATCCAGAAAAGCCTTTTTTGCCTAATAATCAGAAATTGGGAAGTTATTTAGATATTTTTGAAATAAAGCATATGAATGGTCAAAAGAAATACTAAAAGGCATTCAATATTGTCAATCATCAGGAAAATGCAAATCAAAACCACAAAGGGGAAACACCTTAAGCCAGCCAGTTTGGCCATTATAAAAACAAAAACAAACCAGCAACAAAAATAACAAGTGTCAGTAGGATGTGGGAAAATTGGAATCTTTGTGCACTGTTAGTGTGAATATAAATGGTGCTGTGGAAAGCAGTAGAGAGGTTCATCAAAGAACAGAAAATGCGAGGATACTTCAAAAGATCATGCAACATAGAATTAAAAGTTAAGTTTATTTTGCTATAAAAATTTGAAAATTCATGTAGTTTTTTTATAATACACATTTTCATGAATTTTCTGAAGATCCTTTGTGAACATGAACTTCCAATTTTGTGCATCAAAGTAAACTCATGTCTCAATTTCATTTTTCCACAAATCTTTTAAAATTGCCTCAAAGAATTCCCATATAACCCAACAACCTCACTTTTGGGTATTTATCAGAAAGGTTTCAAAACAAGATCTCAAGGAGATCTTTGCACTCCCATGTTCATATGCTCATTGCATCATTTTGACAATCACCAAGGTGTATAAATCACCTGAATGTCTCATAACAGATGAATGGATAAAGAAAATGTAACAGTTGCATAACCATGCAATGGAATGTCATCCAACTGTAGGGAGGAAGGAGGTCCTGTCACACACTGCAACGTGGATTAAACTGAGAACATTATGCTAGAGGACATAAGCCAGGCACACAAGGGCAAATACTGTGTGGTTCCACCAACACCAATAGGAGTTTTCAAAGGTAGTGAGAACTAAGAGGAGGGCAGATGAAAACTGGTGTTCAGTTAAGTGCTTCAGTCAAACAAGATGACAGTTTCTAAAAAATATGCTATACAACAGAATGCTGATGGTTAACAATACTGTAGTGTCCACTACAGGATGGGGCAGAGTTCTGTTGTAGGTGTAAAACTACCCCCTGCGGCACCGGCTTCCCATGTGGGTGTTGGCTCCTGTCCTGGGTGCTCTACTTCTGATCCAGCTCCCTGCTAATGGCCTGGGAAAACAGCAGAAGTTGGCACAAGTCTCTGGGCCCCTGCCACCCATGTGGGAGATCCAGAGGAAGCTCCTGGCCCCAGGTTTCAGCCTGGCCCAGCCCTGTCTATTGCTATCATCTGGGGAGTGAACCAGCAAATGGAATCAATCAAGCACTCTCTCTCTCTCTCTGTCTCTTCCTGCCCTTCTCTCTCCATCTCTCCATAACTCAGACTTTTAAAATAATAAATAAATAAATTTTTCAAAAAGTTTTAAAGCTCATAGAGCTTCTGTTTACAATTGTTATGAGGTCACAAACCTCATCTCAAGACAATTTATAAAGAGTATCTGTAATATGTCAAAGAAAGAGGCCTCAGTCAGTGTAATCCAAATAAACTGCTTGAAAAAACAGACGAGCATCAGGAACTGGGAGCTTACAAACGTAAAAACAAGAGCGTCTGGACTCTGAACAGAGCGGTAGCTGCTGAGGGAAGCCAGCAGGAAGGGGCAGGGAGCTCCGTTGTGGAATAAGACTGCTGGATCCTGCAGCCATCAGACTGGCTCAGCTCTGATTTCCCCTAATGACTGCAACAGTGCCAGGGCCAGTGGGCAGAGCAAAGCACATGTTGCCTTGCTCCAGAGAAATTTCTGAGACGCAGACTTGGGGAAAAGTTCATGCGAAGAGCAGCACCAGTGGTAGTGAAGGGGTAAAGACTAAATAGCCTTGCACCGGGTTTGGCAGGAACACTTTTATTCATCTGCCAATCTTCATCTCCTTGAAACCTTGGAGATGCCGTATCCTAACAACTACCCTGTGTCCCAGCAGCACATACCCAGTGACTTTCTTATTCAAGTCACCTTCACCAGATGCCCATAGGCAGGTGCTATGTCAGACATCATCTCATCACTATTCATGTGTCTGTCTGTGGGTCTGTCTTGGGAAGCCGGGAAGAGAGTAGCTACATTGCCTTCAGAAGGAAAGTATGAAGTAGAAATGGCCTATGAAGTACTATCAATAGGGGCTGGCATTGTGGTATAGAGGATAAAGCCACCAGCTGCAATGCCAGCATCAGATATGGCCGCTGGTTCAAGTCCTGGCTGCTCCACTTCTGATAAAGCTCCTTACTAATGCACCTGGGAAAGCAGCTGAAGATAGTCAAGTGCTTGGGCCCCTGCACTCATGTGGGAGACCTGGATGAAGCTCCTGGCTTCTGGCTTTGGATTGGCCTCGCTCCAGCCTTGTGGCCATTTGGAGAGTGAACCAGTGGATGGAAGCACTCTCTCCCTCTCTCTCTCTCTCTCTCTCGCTCTCACTCTCGCTCTTGCTTTCGCTCTCTCTCTTCTTTCTGTCTTTGTAACTCTGCCTTTAAAATAAATAAATAAATATTCAAAAACATAGGTTTATTTGAAAAAATGCTATTATTAGAAGCAACTAAATCCATTCCTTTGCTATGTCTACATATATTTCCAAAACATCTGCCTAAGTAGGATTAATTCTGGAGTCCTTTTGGATAAACCAGTTCTCCAAAATTCTGATAACTTGAATTAACATCTTTTAATTTAAAAATCATATTTTATACATTTGTAATTTCTTCCTTACTCAATTTTAGATATGAGAAGAGGTAATTGTTTTGAAAGTGTAAAATCAGCCGGCGCTGCGGCTCGATAGGCTAATCCTCCACCTGCAGCGCAGGCACACGGGGTTCTAGTCCCGGTCTGGGCACCAGATTCTGTCCCGGTTGCTCCTCTTCCAGGCCAGCTCTCTGCTGTGGCCAGGGAGTGCAGTGGAGGATGGCCTAAGTTCTTGGGCCCTGCACCCTCATGGGAGACCAGGAGAAGCACCTGGCTCCTGCCTTTGGATCAGCATGGTACGCCGGCCGCAGTGCGCTGGCCACAGCGGCCACTGCGGGGTGAACCAATGGAAAAGGAAGACCTTTCTCTGTCTCTCTCTCTCACTGTCCACTCTGCCTGTCAAAAAAAAAAAAAGTGTAAAATCATGTACATTGTCATCATTCCTCATAGGTCTTAAATTTTTATTTTATTAATCGGACAGTAATTATTTTTTTTTTTTTTGTAATTTCTCCTTAGAACTTATGTAAACCAGAACCCAACTGAGACTAATTGGGACTAATTAACTTTGGTTTTCTGGAAGATTCCTGAGGAGAAACATGTCTTAGAAAGGGAATGTGAGATCTTTGGGACTTCCAGGTGATTTTTTGTGCTCTTGTGTGAACAGTTGGGAATGAGAGCTGTCTTTTCTCATTGTCAATGTGAGTGATGCCAATGTCACTGTACTATTTCTTGAAATATGTGTGGCACATCTTTCCTGAAGGAAGTTGCATCAGGAAATACCTGCTTAAAAGTCTGTATGTTAGAACTCCTACTTGCTTGAGCATTTCAATAAATTAGGGAAGAAGGATTTGAATACATAAAAGGAAATTGGGATTCTACTTTCCTGTGACTACTACAATTTTGGCTGGCAACAAACCCTCTGCCAGAGTTGATGACTGCGTGGGCATCGTAGTTTGCTTTGGGCACAGTTTCGTGATAGCTGTTCCCAATCTCTCAGTGGCAAGTGGCAGGTCAAGCCATTAGGATCACATGGAAAAATGATAATTCTAGAAGCTAGGTGTTGGAGGCAGAATTACTAATATCTGGATATTACTTCTCATTGTATATGACCAGGAAGGGAGGACACGGGAAATCCATGAACTACCCTCCGCTCTTAGTTTTTCTATGATTTCCACCTTTTTGTAATTAAATGAAAAAATATCCAGTCTAAAACCACCCTATCTGCAAGTGTTACCTTCCATTAGTCTTTTTTAATATGCTGTGTAGGCAAAGCCTTGTCCTGTCTCTTTGGTCTATATGTTTTCTTGGGCTGTCAGCATTGAAAGTCACCCAATGTGGAGTTGACTCTTTCTTGAGATCTGGTACACAAGCAACAACGCGCCATATGAAGAAAGAAGGAATTGTCTGTTGTCCCTCAGGAGCAGTGGATGTGAAATTAGTGGTTTGTTGAATCGTTGGTTGATTTTTAAGTTCTCTTCCTCACACTAACTCCAGTACAGATATCTGCATATTTTCCTCTTTTGCTGACTTTTCATTACCCTACTCTTAGAAGAACTATAGTAGACTAAGAGTTATTCATAGAAAGTAATTGAGAAAATAGATCTCTCCAAAACAAGTGTAAGCATATCAATTAGGAATATTTTAACCTCCAAAAGAAATGTATATTCTTTTCTTTAAAAATTGTTTATTTATTTAATTTGCAATTTAGATTCTGGAGGCAGCTCTGATTGCTGGAGTAATTGGGCTTCTGCATCCATGTGGGAGATCTGTGTTGAGTTCTTGGCTTCAGCCTAGGCTCAGCCCAGCGGCAGCAAGCATTTGGAGAGTGAACCATCAGAGGACCTCTGTCTCTCTCTCTCTCAGTGTGTGTGTGTGTGTGTGTGTGTGTGTGTGTGGCTGTCTGTCTATCTCTCAATCTCTCTGCTTGTCAAATAAATAAAAAAATGCAAAAACTCTGAGGTGTAGCTTTACCCAATATGAACTATTATACCTTGATTTTTTAAGAGCTAAGATATACAGATCAAAAATTTAAAAAAAAAAATCCTTCTGATAAAAACTCATCTGATTAATTTTAGACCTGACAACCCTAGGTTTGTCTAGCACTTCCCAGGACTCCTATCTGTTTCTATTAACTCTTGACATGGCATTATGTACACTGGGAGTTTAAAGAAAAAGCATAAGGATGAAGGAATAAAATGGTTTAGGGTACAGGTGTAAATTCAGAGCAGGCCAAAACTTACACACTTTGACTTAAAGAGTGCCCAAGAACACTTCCCCTTCTTAAGTGCTAACCTACTGCCCTGAATATTTGCTATATTGCAATCTAATTCATAAATTAAGTTTCAATCAGTAAAACCAGAGAGTTGTTGCATGAAAACACTGTCAATTGGCAGAAATGAGCAATTGTGAGAGAGCTTTTGAAACTGATAAGAACAGATACTACACTTGATCTTAGCCGAGAAGCGATTGAGAGAAATTTTTTTAAAAAATGATTTATTTATTTATCAGAAAGGCAGAGTTACAAAGAGGCATAGGCAGAAGGAGAGAGAGAGAGAGAGAGAGAGAGAGAGAGAGAGAGATCTTCACTGCTTCGCTCTCCAAATGGCCACAATAGTCGGAGCTGAGACAATCCAAAGCTGGGATCCAGGAGCCTCCTCCAGGTCTCCCATGAAGGCACAGGGGCCCAAGGACTTGGGTCATCCTCCGCTGCCTTCCCAGGACAAAGCAGAGAGCCAGATTGGAAGTGGATCAGCTGGACTTGAACCGGCACCCACATGGGATGCTGGCACTGTAGGTGGCAGCTTCACCCACTACACCACAGCACCCACTGTGAGAGAATTTTTTAAAGGGAAAATGATTACAGGGAAAAGTAGAAAAAAGTCAAAAATGTGGGAAAGAGTTGGGAAGCAGCCTGAGGTTAAAGAATGACTTGGTCAAAGTTTAAGTGAAAAGAGAAGTCAAAAGTGAGTTGGAGGTACTGAAAATACCATCTATTCCCATTTTGCTTGAGCTTAATTTTTCTCTTGTTTCTTAACTGGAACCAACAAGAGGAGAATGTTGCTGTTTTTCCTTGGTCAACATTGACATTGGGATAGTCCTGGTGCTCTGCCCAGAGACCTACAACTCCTGGAGACTCCCTCTGGAGTGGTTTCTCCAGTTCTCTCTGGTCAGGGCAGAGCGGGGATGCAGAAGACTGCACACCTGATAATGGACAGGTAAGGTCTCCTTTAGTGATAACCCTTCAGTGGCCACCCTCGATGGAGAATCTCAGCAAACAAAGAGAGACCATTTGAAGGGCAAAAGACAAACCACCTTGAGAGGATGGCATAAGACAGCTGATGCCTGCTCCCATAACTCCAATCCAATACTGCTGTCCCTTAAAAAGCAAACCATCTCCTTGGGATCTGCCATTTGGAGGGCGCTCATCAGTGCAGTCGTTTTATCGTGTGCTATTTTATTTTAATAGCCTAAATTGACTATTAAAACACAGTTGCACATTAAGATTATTGCTGCACTGCCTGGGGGAAACCAACAAGAAGGACTAGGAGCAGGAACAAGAAAAACAGCTCCTAGCGGTTGGCAGGAAGTGTGTCAACCAGCAACAGGAGCTGTGACTGAGCCAAAGTGAAATATCCCTGCTTACTTGAAAAAGTGGCATGCGAAGACAGTGGTCTTCAGAAGCAAACGCATCCAGAAACACATGGCTCTGGTCCCATCAGAGAAAAAATATATTCACAGTTGGAATGGAAATACCGTAAGCTATTTGAAGGGGAGGAGAGAAGGAGAGAAAGATAACAACAGAGGCGGAATGCTGCCCTGTTCACTCTCTCACAGAGTGTCACATCCAGAAAGGTCTTCAGGGGCTCCTCTGGGCTTTCCTGCTTCATCACTGTAGGGCTCCAGACACTGATCGTGGGTTGAGCACAAATCACTGATCTGCATGGAAAACTCAGCCCCTCTCTGGAGCTCCAGATTTTGACACCTGAAGGTACTAGCCCTTGGCCTGCCTCCTCCCATGGCCTCCCAGACTTGCCCTGCTGGGGACTGTTGGGCAGGGTTGCCACCTTTTTCTCATCCCAGTGACACAAGCAGAGCGCCAACAAGGGTAATTCTGCCTTAAGAAGCATCATTTTCCAATTGCAGAGGAATCTTAGCTTCGATTTCTGTCTAAAGCAAGATTACAACGTCATCAAGGAAAAAAATCTATGATGACTGAAATAACACTGATTCCTGATGCCAAGCCTGTTAATAACTAGTTATTCCACATTTTGAAAGTCCACGTACTTTCACATGCCAATTCCATTTCCAGGAATTTATTCCTCAAATATTTTTTCAACATGTACAAAATGTCATGTAGACAATGTTAAATGATGGATTTTAGAAACAGCAAGAGTTTGTAAATAGCACAGATTTCAGTAATATGGGGTTAATTTGATCAATTTTGTATACCCATATACTAAAACATTATGTAGTCAGTAAAATTAATAAAGTCATCCTACATATGAGATATATTGTTACACATAAAATTAAAGTGCCATACAGTGGGTATATTATAGTCTCTTGCATTTATGTTCATTTAATTATCTTTTAGACTCAAATGATTCAATGGAAGAATGGGCAATGGCATAGAAACAACTATTAAAAGAAAATAAGAGGATATGCTAACTGCCCTTAGGAATTGCATCCTAAGTTCTCTGCATCCCAGAGAAGGAAAAAACAACTGGGTATTGAGTGGGGAAATTTTTTCAGCAAGAGCAACAATTAAAAAATCATGGAAAAATAAGCAAATTTCAGTTAGAAGTAGAATAAATTATGCTCTATCTACAACATAGGATATGGAACAATCATTAAAAAGATTGAGATAGACCATAACTACGATGGCACTAAGGGTTGATGAAAGCAAGCATTGTTGAGTTAGAAAAACTCAATGTAGACAATGAATAGAATATGGTTCCATTTCGTTTATGAAAACACTCTGGTAAAATTTTATCTTTGTATGAGATATATGTGCTAGTGTTTTTTTGTGGGAATAAGAATTTTTTAAAATATATTTAAATAAATAAATTTATAATAAATAAAATAAATATATTTACAAGGAGAAAATGGTATTCTAATACAATCTTAGAGAAAATATAGATTGTATAACCATTGTGGAGTCTCCTTACAAAATTAAAAAATAGAACTACTATACAACCCAGCAATCTCTCTTCTAGGTATAAACCCGAATGAGATCACATCACCTTATAAACACATGTACATTCTTATGTTCATTGAAGTGTTATTCATAATAACCAAGATATGGAAGCAACCTAGGTGCACACTGACAGATGAATGGCTGAAAAAAATGTAGCACACATGCATACAAGGAGAAATTACGCAGTCTTGAGAAGATCTTGCTATATGCTACAAGATCTGGAGGAGATTTTTCTAAGTGACATAAGGCAGACACAGAAATAAGATTATTACATGATATCACTTAGATGTAGAAGCTGAAAAAGTATGCCAAAGAGGGCAGTCAAGTCTACAGATATGGAGTGTAAAATTGGGTGTACCCCGGGCAGGGGAAGGAGAGGAGGCAAGGAGAGATGTAGGTCATAGGAAACACAGTATCTAGCTGCAGGATGAACAAATCTCAAGATACAGAGTACCTGAGAGCGATGGTCAGTAAAAATGTATTGTAGGATAAATGTTTGTTAAGTGAATAGATTCTAGCTGCTCTTGTCACAAGCAAAAAGAGGAAGTATGTGAGACAACCAGCTTCACTGTAGTGACCATTTTGTTATAATAAGGTGTTGTTAGTTTAAATGCGTACAATGATCTTTATATTTTTGAAATAAAAATATACTTAATACAAAATAAACAAAAATATAATTCCAAATACTTATAATATTTGTTGGTATACATGCAGCTATATAGAGATCTTACGAGATTAGCGAGTATCAGAAAGACATACATTAGATTGCTTACACAAATTATCTGGACATAGCTTGGCGGGAAGGTGTGGACTAGGGGTAAAATATGGGTGGGTAGAGAGATACATAAAGACAGGGGAAATTTTAAAAAAAAAAGGCAATAAAAATTAAAAGTAAAATGATGTGCACCTTAAAATACCTTTGTACGTATGGTGTGCACCCATTTTTATATGATCGTGTCTGTGTATAATCTGAAATAATAAGGAAAAAAGAGTTTGATATATACCTTGTAACTAATATAAGTGGCCTAATAAGCTGTTAACATTTTTTGGCAAACTAATACATAGTAGTATCAAAATTAAGTAACAGCCAGCAAGCAAACACTGATTTGCATATATTAAACATGATGTTATAGGCCTGCTCACACACGGATGAATTTCTGTGTTTTAAGACCGGATACAAGAAGGGAAGATTCACACTCTGCCCCAGCCATTACCAGTATTTTTTTTTCCTGCTGTTTGTGTCATTGGAGATGAGGAAGGAGAAGAGGTGACGAGCTTTGTGTTTGCATATATTTCATTCACTTGTCAGAAACAGGAGTATGGGGCTTTCCTAACTTGGGAAGTATCAACTAAACAAAAAGGAGCCTAGGAAAGACATTCTAAAGTCACCTCCAGTACGTCGCCCTATGACGTTACTGTGTCTTTAAACAAGCAAAAGAAGGCTTTGGGGTTTTAAGAGAAGAGTCATTTGTGTCTGTCTGTCCTGATGCAGCCATCAGAACCTCGCGTGCTGACTGCTCCTGGGCGCTGATGGCGCCGAGGGCGTATTAGCACTGAGATGCTCTGGTCTACCCAAATCCCTCTGCAGGCGTAAACACCCCAACACCCAAGAGTTCTGGTGCTTGCTCTGCCGCTTTTTCTGCCCCCGCAAAGGGCTTTCCTGTCACTAATACTCAGAAAACATAAAAATGTTTGACTCCATGGCTCCAAGCAGACTTTATTTCAAGGACAAGAATGACACTTTATGGGTCGTGTGATCTGGCAAGTGCATTTCCTTCTCATGACTTCAAAGGTTCTGTTGAATCAAACGATCACAGGAAAACCTTGCTTCTCAATGTGAGAGGACATGACAGGTCAGAGGACCTCGGAGCCAAGCAGACTTGTGTTTTAACCTGACATTTGCCACTTACAAGTCGAATGACAGTGACCACGTTGTTATCTTATATCTCTGAACTTCAGTTATCACATGTATCTAAGTGAGGAAAATACTATTTTTTCACAGCACTGTTGTAAGGACTACACAGGGTAATGTATGTAAACTGCTCATCAGGAAGATTAACTTAACCCAAAGTATTAGTATTGTTGTTATTGACTACAGCATTACTTTTGTTACAGGGGGCAACATTGTGCTGCAACAGGCTAAGCTGCCCTCTATGACGCCAGCATCTCATATGAGCAAGGGTTTGAGTCCAGGCTGCTCCACTTACTAGCCAGTTCTCTGCTAGTGTGCTGGGGAAAGCAGCAGATGACGGCTCCTGCAAGTGGACGAAGCT